CAGTAAAACACCCAGGGGCTCAGACTTGTTTGGAAAAGTCAAGGCAGGGTCTACTGACTTTTGGCAAGGTCCCCTAGAGGCCTCCAACCTTTTGGAGATTCCTTCTTACAGACTTTCCAACCAAGACCGTGCTTCCCCACGGATAAGGGGATAAAAAAGCTGTGATACATTTACTCTGCCATAAAAGGAAGAAAATTTTACCCTTTGCAACAACATGGAAGGACCTAGAGAACATCATGCTAAGTGAAATAAGCCAGTCAGAGAAAGACAAGTGTCATAGGATTCCACTCATGGAATTTAATGAACAAACTGAACTACCAAGCAAAATAGAGACAAACTCATAGATAGAGACCAAGCAAATGGCTCTAGTGCTGGGGGTCAGGGGGAGGGGGTAATGTGAGTCAAAGAGAAAAAAAAAAAGAGGTAGAGAACTCATGGACATGGACAACAGTGTGGTGATTGGGAGGGGAAGAGGGGGTGGAGGAGGAAGAGGTCATAGAGGGGATAAATGGTGATGGAAAATTTTTTAAAAATTAAAAGCAATGGGAAGTCAATGAAGGATTCTAACCAGAGGAGTGAACTATACCTTAGAGAAGATTGATATATGCTTTGCTTAAACACATTTTATGGCAACTTTAAGTAAGCATGTATTATTTTGACAGATTTTAAGCTATAACAATTTAGTATATAATCGTGTTTGATTTTGCCCATCAATGTTTTATTATAGCATAATATTTCATTGCATTATTTTTCATTGAAATATTTTGTTTACTTTTAAAATCAGTGGTAAACTTTTTATTCCTATGACCTGCACTGTATATTTATTAAAAAAAGAAACTGGACTGCCTAAATATCAGCAAATAAAAAATATATGGAATTAGGGTTCAATATAACTAAAAATGTCAATGTCTTTTAGTGAAATTTGACAGAAAAAAATATCTATTTTCTATTGCAATAATTTCCTTCTAGAATCTTTTTTTTTTTTTTTTTAAATGTATTTTATTGATTTTTCACAGAGAGGAAAGGGAGAGAGATAGAGAGTTAGAAACATCGATGAGAGAGAAACATCGATCAGCTGCCTCCTGCACATCTCCCACCGGGGATGCGCCCGCAACCCAGGCACATGCCCTTGACCGGAATCGAACCTGGGACCTTCCAGTCTGCAGGCCGACGCTCTATCCACTGAGCCAAACCGGTTTCGGCTCCTTCTAGAATCTTGATACTCATAATCATTATACAATTGTTTGTGTTCCTCAGCCAGATGTCACTGTCAGGGCTGCATTAGATTGCAGTACCTAATAAAGTTCATTTATGTATACTCTGATAAAATTTGAGCTTTTAGTTAATGCTTGAATGATTTTAGCAGTCAGTTACAGTGCCCACTACCCTTGAACTTGTTCTTTTTTATATCCTCGCCTATTCCTGAGATGATCATATTTCAGGCCCACATTTTACCTATCAATTTAAGAATTCTTCATCTGATACTCTAATGAATGAAATATATGTTTGACCTTTTGATTTGTCTCTTATCTTTACTGTCTTTTAGGAAGATGATTAGATGTAGTTTATGTGCTAAGGCCTCAAGTATTTGATTCAGCCTAAAGATGGATCAAATTTTCATCTCGTTTAAATATAATTCAGAGATGGAAAGAATGATTTTCATGACTTATCAGAGAAATAATTTGCCATCAAGGTTCCTTTTTCTTCACCAATTTATCCTTATTCACTATTACCTGATCTTTTCATGGATAAAAATTTATCTCTTCTTGCCATGGGTTTCAACTTAGGGACTGAGTGCTCATTTTGAAAGGGTAAGCTAGGCATCTAAATTTTAGAATTTGACCGTATTGGGAACCATTAATCATGTAGAAACTTTTACAAAGCTATATGTAGTTATTTTGTTTTGGGTCCTCAGGGACACATGAAAATTTGAATATTAGAACACTGGGAGAGTCAAAAGAGAATAAAGGATTACAACTATGGAAGAATGTTAAAGAGTGAATGAGGATTTCTTGTTTCATGCAGAGGGGCCAGCTGTGACTTAAACATCTTTATGATCATGAATATGTTAAATAATGTTGATAGAATTTCCTTTGTCTCTAAAGAGGTCAGAAAAAGGATAATAGATTTAAACTTAAAGCACTGATGATTGGTGTTATAGGATATGTTTTTTGGCTTTAAGGAAACTTATTGCTAGCATTTGTTGACATTAAGTGGGGAACAATGCAATAATTGGAGTCTAGTCAGCTTTGTGTTAGTAATCTATGGTCATTTGAATCAGTACCCTCTTTACTGCTGTAAATCCGTCTTGTGGGGTTAGAGGTGTGTGCAAGGGTGGCGTAACTTAGGTTCTTGCTTTGTCCGTAAACTGTGGGGCCATTATGATCAGTTAGAATAGATGCTTTAATCATTCAGAATCATGTAGGTAGAGGGAGAGCACTTTATAGAGTACAGTCAAGTTCAATTAAGCTCTTGCTAGGGCTGCTTAATACTAAGTATCCTGGTGCTTTATAGCTTAAATTAAATATTGTGAGCAGCTTTATTGTGAGCACTTATAATTTGATTTAGTAGGAATGGTTAAGCTAAGAAAATCCTCACTAACTAATAATTGCTATTAAGTAAATAACTAATAAATGAATTTGTAATCTTTTTTACATACCAGGAGGTGGGAGCTGTTTTATGAAGTTGCCCACCACAGTGTAGTTAAGGCTTTTCTGTGTTTGTTTATTTTAGTTATGAATTTGGATTTTGGAGTTATTAATTCTTTGGGTTCCATTGCTTTTTTTTGGACTATCTAGTATTGGAAATTCTCATCATTATTTTCCATGCTTTCAGGCATAATAAGCCTTATCAGCACGGTCTTTCGTTAGTAAAGCAATCTTACCTGCAGGGATGGAGTGAGTTCGGTGTGTGATGTCTTCCTCTCCCCCTACCCCACTCTCCCACCCGAGACTCCGGCGCTCTTCCTCTCTATACCATATACACCTGCTACAGGCCACACCATACTCTACTTTCTTTTTCTCTAAGAATACTATTTGTCTTCCTGTCTCCCTGCTTTCTAATTATTACTCCCTTTTCTGTCTATTTGAATGCCACCCAGTCTTCACTAACATTCATACTTCCTTTGTATCTATTCTGCCCAATGGTTTATTTTTTTGGGTGCTACTTCTGACCCTTTTTCAGCTGTTGCTTATTTGTTAGATCTAGAATAAAGATATATTTCAAAACTTTATTATATTAAAAATATTATATAAATATTGATTTGTTAGCTACATTCTAATTATTATGAAGATGGATTCTCTCATACGTCATGTATCCTCCAAGTAACCCAGTGCTAAACACATAATAAGAACTCAGTATTTATTAGTAGTATAATTGTAGGTAGGAAAAGTGGTGGATTAAGTGGTCTTGGAATTTAAATATGAGTATTTTTTTTCTGATTTCCCTTGAGATTTAATTTTGACAATGTAAAATATATTCTTGAATAACTGAGGTCTGTGTTCACACTTTATTTTTTGAAAGGATGCTCAATCACCTGCAGGTTCTTTGAATAGGAGCAAGTGTCCATAATATGTGACCTTACAGGATTTTAAATATTGTAATTACAACCAAGCTCTGAAAAATAACTTGTGTGTGAAGATGGAGGGACAGTTGGGCTTTAAATTACTGAAAAATCGCAAACCAACACCCCAGTGGTTGCTGTTTTAATATACAAAATACAAATAATAAGATAATCCTATTTTTTCAAATGGAATTATATTACTCTGAGTTAAAAACAACAACAGTTGGCTTCTGCATATACAAGTTCAGAGGACAATGTTAAGCATAAATGGTGAAACACAATTTATTACATATAGATCAGCGTTAAATCTTATTTCTGTAATACAGGAACTATTGACTTAATCCCTCTGAGCCTTCGTTTCTTCTTATGAAGTAGAAACAGTTATAACGTATCTCAAAAGGTTAGAGGGAGGGCTAGAAAAGATAGACCATCTAATGCATCAAGCACTTTACCTGGTATCTAACACACAAATTGTCTCCTACTCCCCCCCCCCCCTTATTTTAGATATACATTACTTAATTGAAATTCTTAAAGTTTTTGTTCTTGTAAGGGACCAGAGGCATTTTGATATTTGTAAGAAAGTTACTAATTATAACAGTGATCCTGTGGGAAATTAGAGTTTGAAAAAGAGGTTGTCAATAATGCAACATGAGTATTTTTTCAAAGAATTTATGATTTTTTTCTTTCACTTCAAAGTAGTACATTTGAAAAAATAATACTAAGCTTAAAAAATAAATGAAGACTTGTTGCTAGTTTGAGGTATCATATAATTTTCTGAAATTAGTCAAAAGATCTCTAGGTGAATGAGAAAATAAAATTTGCCACCTTTACAAGGGCAGTAGTTTTATAGTAAAACTATTTTAACCGGGCTCTTTGAGGAATGCAGTCTTCTGGCTAAAAATTCCTTTTGTTTCAACCCTTTACATAAATGTCTTACTTTCCTGCCTTAGAGAAATATATGTATAGAATATCATAGCCTTTTTGTTTGTAGACTGAGGGTCTTTCATTGCTCATTCTAAATAACAACGATGTGGTATGGCCGTGTGGACGGCCTTGTTCTGAGTAGGGTCAGATCAGGCTAAAAGTAACCCAGGGCATGTACTATGAAAAGTTACCAGCCCTCCTGCACCTCCGCTCCTCCCCCCAAATCCCTAATATCATTGTTGCTTTCGTTTTATATACCACTTTTTTCAGACATTTTCTAACAAATTGCAATTCTGCTTTCTTAAAACTGAAAATTTATTAAAGGAGACTTCGGAGATTATTTAGCCAGCATCTTCATTTTATAGATGAATAACCTGAAGTATAGGTCAATCGATCTGCTCAAGGATGCAAAACAGAATCATTAACAGAAATAAAGATGTAGGTTTCCTCATTAAACTGACACTTTAATAGTGTCCCAAATGTTGGTGGTTATCTTTGTTCTTCTTTGAAACAGGTAGATCGACACTTGAGAAAGCTGGATCAGGAACTCGCTAAGTTTAAAATGGAGCTGGAAGCTGATAATGCTGGAATTACAGAAATATTAGAGAGGCGTAAGTAAAATTTACGTTTCCCATCCATGTTGGATAGTATGTGCACAAGTCACTGAGGAGAACTGGGCCCACGGAGACTTCTCAGATCCTGCGCTCGGTGGATGGTGGCAACCAGGTCGGAGAGCTTGGGCCTTGGCAGTTGAAACTGTTTGGGTCATGGAAACGGAGAGAGAGAACATAGAATATTCTCACTGGCTATGAAAATAAAATGTGAAGTCATTCCACTTTTAATATGCATATATGCTAGTAAGCTGAATGGTAAGAGCAGAGAGTTAAAGAAAAATAACCATCTAGAAACAAGTCAACCATTTGTCATGAAATGTATTGACTTTGCCCTACCCGCTTCGCCTTTGTGTAAATTGTAAGCTTTGAAGAAGGTTATTATTTCTCCTTAAGAATCGTTTTAAGGCTTTTCCTCAACTGTGTTAATAAGAAAAATTTTAATAGGCTCCATAGTCCTGTCTCTTTCCTCTAAATTTTCTTGGATCAGCGAGAAGCCATTTTAGTATTTCTTTGCAAGGTTCTCAGCTTGATCTCTTGCTCTGGTTACCCTTATAACTTCTTGGGTTTAACTAAGGAGATTTCCCAAAAGTGGAGACATAAGCTTCGTTGTTGTTTTTTTTAACTAATTTAGCATTTATTCCAACCTAAATAGGTGATGTCCATAAAAGCATGTGGTGTGGTGTTAAGCCCAGAGTAGACACCAGCTAAACGTTAGTGAGCCAAATCAGTATTGTGGCTGTTTTCTACTAGAATCTAGTTTAAGGGTTCAAACATCTTTTTTACTTGGTGCATTTCAGTGGCAAGAACATGTACATATTTCTACACACACACCCCCGAAAAATTTACTTACAGTGTTAGGTTATGTATCTCTGTTGATATACTCTGTTAATATACTTTTGTTAACTAGAGAAGCAGCCAGGTAGGAATCCATAGCTGTATTCAAAATGGATCCATCAATTTAGATGATCATTTAATTTAGTTGTGATATTTTTATTCCAGGGGAACCCTATCTGATAATAATAAGTATTTTGAGACAAAATAAAATGTCCTTTAGCTCCTTTGATTGTTTTTTTTTTTTGACACACCATAACAGAAATTCATGCCTATTCAGTACTGCAGGAAGGTTCACAAAGCATCCTCATGAGGACACAGACAAATGAAACTAAATTGGATCAAGATATAGAAACTGAACCACTCTATGCCCTGCCACAATTTCATCTTAAGGGATCACAATTAACACAGAACATTTATTTAAAAGTATTGTAAAGCTTGGCGGTAGATTCTGTGTTTCACTTTTCACAAGCAAAATCCTTTACTATCTTAGGTCATTTCAGTGATCAAAGAATTTCCTTTTGTACTGTAATGTCCCGTTGCTTAATACTTTAGGATCTCCCATAGAAAAGAGTTATAATATCCATTCATTCACTTATTTGGTACCTACTGTTGTGCATTCCCTTAATCGAAATTAGCATGCCTTGACCTGTTTTGTACGTAAGGTGAATATTGAGAAATGGATTACTTATTGTTTACAGAAAGTATGCAATTGATTCAGGGTGAAATTGGCAGTGGTGACCTAATATGTTTGACTAAAGTGACACAGGCATATACATCAGAGTTTGCTAGTCCTCTGCTGAGTGAGGGTACACAGTACCTGTAGTTGATTGACATGTAAAGTTCTGTGGTGACAGTTAATGACAGTGAATCTCTCTTGTCATTTTTTTTCTTTTTTCAGGATCTTTGGAATTAGATACTCCTTCCCAGCCAGTGAACAATCACCATGCTCATTCACATACTCCAGTGGAAAGTAAGTTTGGTTTATTAGTGCAAATAAAATTTTAAATAGAATTAAAAGCTCATATTACCTGTATATTTTTTTTATTAGATCTACACAACTGATTGAGACATAAGTATCTTTCCTTTACTTTTCTTTCATTAGATATATATTTGTCATTGCAATTATTGGCAGACTTCTCTTCTTCACTTGGGAAAAGCATCTTTGATTTGGGAACAGGGATCTGTTTTTCCCTAAAATCCATAGAGGAAGACTGTATGGTACTGATAGCAGCATATACTTCCTACACACAAATACCGAAGGCAAACAACAAAGTACTCCATGGCGGGCTCTTTGTCTTTTTCATTCTTGCTTCTGCAGTGCTTAGTCTACTGCTTGGCAGAAATAATGTTTCACTTAGTGACTAAGTGAATGGTAAGCCAGTTGGCTTGATGACTGTCTGCATTTTTTGATAAATCAATTTGACATGATAGAAGGGTTGATTGAAAATTTATCTAAATTGTAGATAATGTTTTCAAAACAGAATTTCCCTCATGCTACATGTGAACCCATTGTGCATCGATGAATTAACTTCAGTACTTTCCTACTAAAATTTTTTTTAAATGTCTAAGAAGTTTGCTCTTGATAAAACATGTAACATAGAGAGTTCTGTTTGTCCTCTTATAAGAAAACATAATGTTCTGTATATCATGAGGAACTCAGATCATAAAATGTACCAGTTTATAACTAAATGGAAGTATTATGCATGGTCTGTATTTCTCTAAAGTTAAAAAACACATGGATTCTTTATATGCAGAAAGGAAGTATAATCCAACTTCTCACCATACGACAACAGATCATATTCCTGAAAAGAAGTTTAAATCTGAAGCTCTTCTATCTACCCTAACATCCGATGCCTCTAAGGAAAATACACTAGGTAAGTATTCTTAAATGTGATTGGTTGCTTTTGCTTGTTCATGTTAAAATAAGGGAAAATTAAAGCACTCAGGATTAATGAATATACAGATTCTTTACCTGGTTAATTTCTACATAAGGAGAAAGAAGAAAAAGGAAAAATATGATATGAAATTTTATAGAGACATGAAAATTTTAAATTCATGATTATATCTGTTGTGGGAAATAAAGTATTTTAAACACACTAACATTATGTTCTCTCTGACCATTTCTATTTATTCTTTAATTCTACACAGGTTGTCGAAATAATAATTCTACGGCCTCATCCAACAATGCTTACAATGTGAATTCCTCCCAACCTCTGGCCTCCTATAATATTGGCTCATTATCTTCAGGAACTGGTGCAGGGGCAATTACCATGGCAGCTGCTCAAGCAGTTCAAGCTACAGCTCAGGTAAAAAATGGAAAAGGTGTGGAACAAGGTGTTTCGTTTTGTTCGAAATATTGGCAAATTCTAGTAGAAACAACTAGGTGTGGACAGGAAGTTTTCCTAATTGCACAGGCTCATTTTTAAGTCATAGTTTTATGATATCTGATATTTTATTTAAAGAAATGAACATGCAGAAATTACTTGATTGATAATGAAAAATAAAAAATAGATTCATACAGTCTCATGCAGATTCCTTCTCACAATAATTGTTCATGATGTCCATGTTCTTGACTATAACCCACAGCACCTGCTAGGACAATACTTTGTTCTATCTGCCCGTTCCAGGGCGTTCTCTGTAGCCGCAGAACATAGGTTGCCTTGATTTTAAATTCTTTACACAAAATAGCTTAAAATTATAATGATGAAAATGGTTTAAACAAAATAAAGTAGAATTGGTTAAACCAAAGTAATGTAACTACTAATACTTAAGAAAGACAATCTACATATGTATGTATATTAATACTGTCCATTAATGTCTATTCAAGATGAAAGAGGGCCGAAGGACATCAAGTTTAAAAGCCAGTTATGAAGCGTTTAAAAATAATGACTTTCAGCTGGGAAAAGAGTTTTCAATGCCCAGGGAAACAGCTGGCTTTTCATCATCTTCAGCGCTCATGACTACATTGACCCAGAATGCCAGTTCATCAGCAGCAGACTCACGGAGTGGGAGAAAGAGCAAGTAAGTCGTATTGCTACGGGAGCCCTGCCCCTTTACCAGGCGTGCAGCTAGCGGGCATCCCCTGGCTTTCATGTCAAACAGAGGCAGCATATAAGGGGTCAGGATGCTTGGAGAGTTGAAAGGCATGGCATTGTCATTCACACTTCCGTACTTTGAAGAGGTAAAGTCTTTAAAAAGGGTTAAGAGTCTTTAATTTTTCTAGTCTTAAATTGGGTTTATTAATTATTTCTGTTTGCTTTCTTTTATTTGTTAGGATAAACCATTTTATGAAACTTTCTTCATTTATAACCTCTTATTTTAGGCAAATTAATACATAAAATACAAATTAAATCCTGCGAATTTTTTGTTTTTAAATAAGATTCTTCATTTTGATTAAGAACAACGTGTCTTAATTCTTGGTCTTATGTCCCCGAAATTGAAATTATGAATATATCCCTAGATTTTGTATATTATACTCTTAGGATGATTGTATTGACTTTAAATATGAAAACAATGGTACTTGGCAATGTCTGTCCTAAGTACCTGCATATGCTAGGTGTTCATACAGAATGAAAGTTCAAATGCTAGGCCAACAGAATTAGTTACCTAATAATTGTATTATAATTTTTTAATGTAGTCTATTTTTGTAAGTCCCTGAAAGAATGATCAATGTAAAATTACCACAAAAGTGCTAAGTATTTTAAAAATGAATTCATCTTAATGACCCAAATTTATTACAACTGCCAGTGATAAATTTTTGTATTTTTACAATTGAATTAGCATGCAGATAATGGTAAGTTATTTGTGAATTTTAAAACTTTTGGTTTCCTGTCCTGCACAGGTAAGTATTCACACATTAGTTGATGATCATGATCATTTTTACCAAATGCTTTTTTTTATAAATATGTTTTTTTTTAATATTTTAGAGAGAGAGAGAGAGAGAAACATCGATGAGAGAGAAACATTGATCGGCTGCCTCCTGCATATCCCATACTGGGGATCAAGCCTGCAACCCGGACATGTGCCTGACCAGGAATCGAATCAGTGACCTTTTGGTGCTTGGGAGGACACTCAACCACTGGGCCACATTGGCCAGGCTCACCAAATGCTTTTGTATACATCTTGGTATTTTAGATTTTGATGAAGACTATTCAGTGTGCTTAAAAATACAAAGAATATCTGTAAGGGATCCATAACTAATACTAATTCTTAAAGATCCTGCCTACAATTTAAGTCAATAGTAAATAGTAACTGATTAAAAAATTACTTTAAAAACTCTGTAATATTTTGAAAAAAATTTACTTTTGAATATCTTTATTCTCCAGATAGCAAAAAATTTTAAAGAAAAATAAATCATTATGAAACATGTTGCTCTTTGTTGTTCTAAATGATTATGCTTTTAAAACTATCAGATTACTTTAATTTGATCTTAAACATTAATTTATATGTTTGATTTCATACCACTTTTATTTAGTAGTTATTCTCAGGTAACTTCTGGATGCTGAGCAAATAAATGCTGTTTTTTTCAGAAACAACAACAAGTCTTCAAGCCAGCAGTCATCCTCATCCTCCTCCTCCTCTTCCTTGTCATCGTGTTCTTCATCATCAACTGTTGTACAAGAAATCTCTCAACAAACAACAGTAGTACCAGAATCCGATTCAAATAGTCAGGTCGATTGGACTTATGACCCAAATGAACCACGATATTGCATCTGTAATCAGGTAAAAGTCTGGCATGTGTCTATAAAAGCATAATCTGAACAAACTAGGAAAAAACAATTTCATTTTTTTTTCAAGTGCTATTTTTACTCCAGTTAAAATACCCTTGCTTTTTTTATACATAAACAATTTTCTCTGGCTTTTTATAAAAATGACGTTTGTTGTAAATACAAAGAGTATAAAGAAACGTAAGTTATCCATAATCTCAGCCCTCAGATATAACCTGTAATTAAACATTTTTTGTACCACTTCTACATATCCCACGTGTATATTGTCTTAGTCTGTTCGTGTTGCCATAATAGTATATACCACAGGCTGCGTGGTTTAAAGAACAGAACTCTATTCCTCACAGTTCTGGAGACTGGGTAGTCCAAGATGAAGGTGCTGACTGATTTCATTCCTGGGTTAAGGAAAGGAAATCTTGTATAAATCTTGGCAAATAAAAGCAGGTTACCTACAAAAGAACAAAATCAGATTCACCCACAATTTCCCCTCCATAACACTAACAATCAGAAGTTGATGAAATATGTATGTAGAACTTTGAGGGAGAAATTTGAGTGTTCCCCAAAAAACTGTCACCCAGAGTAAAGTTATTGTTCATGTCCATGGAATCTGAAAGTATGCCATCTAGTTGCCTTTTCTGGAAAATTATTCAGTCCATTGAGAACTTCAGTGAATTCAGGAGTTAGGAAGTTGTGCTATAAAGTGCTAGCAGTGTACCGCAAAAAGGAAAATGAGAAAGGACATATAATACGTAATAAGTTTAGAAGTTTCAATGAAATGGACTGTTGACTGCTAAAATGTAGATGACCTAATGTGACCCAAGAAAAAATTAAAACCGAAGCAGGTAAGTAACCAAAAAAGAAACTTAAGGTCTTTAATAAAGGAACCATCCACAGAGATGACTCCCACAGAGCAGGTTCTTTCAGACTTTCAAAGGTCATACAATTTCTGTGTGTCTCCCCCTCCGCCTCCATAAAGTCTTTTGGAAAAACTAGGTAAATGTATAAATCTATGTACCCTGTTTCTTAATGCAAGTGTATATTCAGTGTATTTTCATTGTCTAATAGTATCATAAACAGTTAATTTGGATTTAGATGCTTGTTCTATAGTGATAATAAGATTTTTTCTTTAACCAGGTATCCTATGGTGAGATGGTGGGCTGTGATAACCAAGATGTAAGTATCACATTTTTCTATTCAGGAATGAAAAAAATCACATTATTATTTGAATATTTATTGTGTCTTTCAGTGTAAGAAAACAGTTTGCAGTTATGTTAATTATGTCATATTAGTGCTAGAAATATTCCTCTCCAAAATAGGATAGTGTCTCTTAATGTGTTCCCTATTTTAACTTTTATAGCTAATTTTATGGTTTTATGCAAATTGTATTTCTCAAAAAGGTGTTACATTGTATGAAAATTAGAAACACCCTCTCCCCCTTTGCTAAAGAATATTGTGTTTGCTAGAATTCAATTCACTTATCACAGTGAAGAATTGGAACGTGAAAACAATACATTTTTTCAAGAAGCATGGTGCTTAGGTGAAGGGTGGGGATGTTGAGCATCTAATGTGAGATTATTTTCCTCCCATTAGTGTAGTATGTCCTATTGTACTCTGCAGGTGTCAGCTGATATAAAAAAATCACTTATATTAAAAAAAAAAAGGGGGGGTCTTAAAATTGCTCTTCTTTTGAAAGCTTACTTTTGATTAGAGATACTCTTTATTGAATGCTAAGAATATGTTTGTTTAGTAATTTTCACTCCCTCCTTACTTTCATATAACTCTTTTGTCCATCTTTTACTCCAGAGGGGTAACAACTCCGAATTCTATAGAAATCCTACTCAGGAATGTTATGCTAAGAGATTTAAATTTATAAACAGTGTAAAGATTGAGCAGGGTTGGCTAGGTACCTTGAAATTTGGACTTTCTCTGACTTGACAGGGTCCCAAAAATATGTTCGCATAGAAAGAGAAAGACCCTCCTTCCACTTCCCTCTTTAGAATCACTTGTGGGCTGCTGGTAATTATTGTAAAACAGTATTGCCCAAGCATTTAAAGAACACCATTGGAAACTGTCTCCTAGGCAGTTAGTGGAAATGACAAATAAGATTTCTGTGATTAACCTATCATATTCTGATCTCTCTCATTCCCACTTAAGATTTTCTGAATGCTAAGGTTTTCTATGGAAGTGTAGAACTGCCTAATATATTGCAGAGTACGGCACTTTTCCTCTCTGCATATCTAGGAATGGGTTTATCCAAAAGGGAAAGCTAGGGCATTCCTTTATGTCTTTAATTACAAGTAGCTTATTCTACTCCATGTGGGAGCGAATAAAGCTGAATCCTCCTATATAATAAAAGGGTGATATGCAAATTGACCAAACAGCCAAACAACAGTCGTTATGATGTGCACTCACCACCAGGGGGCAGACACTCAATGCAGGAGCCGCCCCCTGGTGGTCAGTGCACTCCCACGGGGTGAGCGCTGCTCAGCCAGAAGCCCAGAAGCCCGCCTCTGCGGCAGCACTAAGGATGTTTGACTCGGGAGTGGGCCTAAGCCGTCAGTCAGACCTCCCCTGAGGGCTGTTGGACTGCGAGAGGGTGCAGGCCAGGCTGAGGGACCACCCCCCCCCCCAAGTGCACGAATCTCATGCACCAGGCCTCTAGTATTAAATAAAATCTTTAAAATAAATTTCTTTTTTACATAAGAGACCCATCTCACTTCTTATCTTTAAAGTTGGTATCAACTTACTCTCCAAGAAAATGAAAATTAGTAAATTTTAGTTCATTATTTAGAATTATGGAAATAGATTACATGAATCTCAGTTAACAAAGGTACATAATTTTTCTGTGCCTCCATTGCCTCATCTCCGAAGCTTATCAGTTGGACCGTGTTGTTTATAAATCAGCTCCTAGATCTAAACATTATGTTTCCATTAATCTAATATTTGGTGTAGTGGACATATTTTAATATACTCCCTAATCTTTAGAAGAACTAAAAACTTCTTTGCAATTTTGCTTTCTAGTGCCCTATAGAATGGTTCCATTATGGATGTGTTGGGTTGACAGAAGCACCAAAAGGAAAATGGTACTGTCCACAGTGTACTGCTGCCATGAAGAGAAGAGGCAGTCGGCACAAATAAAGATGGTCATTTCATTTGAGAAAGAGTAAGACTTCAACTAAACATTTTATATAGGACTTTAAAAGAGAAGAAAAGAGAAAGAAGATACAATGCATTTCCAGGCAACCACTTAAAGGATTTACATAGGCAATCCTGTAAGATCTTGAACTTGAATTTTATGGGTTGTATTTTAATAATGTAAGTAAATTATTTATGCACTCCTGGTGTGCTATGAATATTATTCCAGTTAGCCTTGGATTCTTTCAGTGGCCAACATATGCAGACATTTGTACTCCTCAGCCGTTTTCACAAAGTAATGGGCATTCTATAATTTAGACTTTAAGAATTCCAATGATGAAGGTTTTAAGAAAAGTATTTTATATTCAACAGGTATGTTCTGCTGCATGTACTGCACTCCAGAGCTGTTATGTAATACTGTATATAAATGGTTAAAAAAAAAGGTAGTGCTTCTAAAAAGAATTTAAGATAATGGTTTTTTAAATGCCTTTATAATAAGCTTTGTTTCTTTGTGAAACTACATTCAGCAGGCTGAAGGAAGTGGTTCATGTGCTAAAGTGAGCTGGTGTCCTCTAGAGTACCTGGGTACATACACAGAAACTCCTGTAGGTAAAAGCTAACCTGTGCCATTAGTCTTTCTATGTCTCTACATCCAGACCGAGTGCAGTTCATGAGGGTGGGAGGGGAGGGGCTGAAGGGGAAAGGGTATTAAAGTGATACATTTTTATACCAAATGTGTTTATTTTTTTGTGCAAGTAATCCTTAAAATTGGAATTGTATTAGGTGTTAAAATAAAGTTTTTAAAAAATTACTTGTATTTATACTTTACACACTTAATGAAAATTTCTCAATTCTAATTAAATTCCAATTTTCATAATCTAAGGACTGAGGCCCAGGACACAGAAAGCTGTTTAATCTGTGATTTCTTTAATAATGCTTAGAATTTGTGATGTGAAAATAAGGGAAAGACATTTTTAATGTAAATTTGAAATGCAGATGTATTTTTTTAGATCATCTCTCTGACTTTTCCTTCAGTTGGAAGGACATGAAAGAAGTCTAATTACAGCAGGTAAAATGAAAATAATGGTTATAGATATTTGACTTAAGGCAGTGTGGCCAATTTAAGTAAAGCGACCCCTGGATTGGAGCTTAAAATTCAGTTCTGTTTTTTATTTTACCATATACTAGTATGACAGTTAATTCAATTTTTTAATCACTCTGGGCCTTACTAAACCAGGGTGATGCTAGCTGTAGGAAGTCTCTAAAGCACTTCTATGGTTTTATTCTATAGGTGCTATTTAAATTATAAATTTTGCATACTATTGAGTCTGGTCAGTAGAAAAATCCTTAAAGCTTTTAAAATATTTATTATGTCATATTTTTTATATCAAAACGTACTGGGTACATCAGATTTTTACTTTAATGAAAACTACTTATGAGCCTCTTAGAACTTACTCAGAAAACTGTGACGTCTATGCAATGCTACCCAAAGGGTTTGGGTTAGATAGGGGATTTCAGAGTTCTCTTCCAGCTTCCCAGTGCCACAGCTCTGAGCTGCTGCAGTCTGTTTTATAACTGGACAGCCCATAAAGCTAAGTTAGGTTCATTTGTGGGTTACCATGATTTCATAGTATCACTAGTATCACAATTTGGTGGTACTCAATATTTCATGGAAATTTTATAAATCTTTAAGAAATAATATATAACGTAGTATTCAATTAGCTTATCAGCATGTTGCCTGGAGATGCTTAGTGTTATTGTTTAATGTTCTAATTAAATGTAATGATTTTCCCAAACTTATTTGTATTATTGGAATTGGTCAAAGGATAAAGCCTTATATTCAGCCTTATTTTCAGAGAAAGTTCCTTGTCAGAGTCAGGAACATCCCTACTTCCAGCTGCTACAGCCCTTTTCAGTATGTGAATTCCACTGCTTCCCAAATCACTCCGAAAACATTTTGACAAATCTTCAACTCAAACATTGACTATTTTGTGAAGTGTGTATAAAGAAGTAAACCAAAACTTTGTTTCAGTTATTTAATAATGGGTGGAACCTGTTAATATCTCAGATAGCCAGACATGGAACTACCTCATCAAAAATAATGTGGCCAACTATTAGTGTTTGTTGTGACATTGACAAGGGGTATGATGAGCATTTTTGGTATTATCAAATACACATTCAAAAATCTTTGTTGTGTACAAAACTCATGTAACAATTGGTGGCATAAAAAAAATACAAATGTGGGTTCACAGTTTATAGGTGGGGAAAATTGAGGCCTTACTGCTGTGGAGTGTATATTAAAATGTTCATGGTAACACACTTGAAGCAATAAATGGCTTAATTAAATGCCTAAATAAAGCTGAGTGTTTGATAAACATACAATCATTCTTTTTAAGGGCAGTTAAATTTTTTTGCTCTTTTCTCCTTTAAAGCAAATTGTACCTATTTTAGATTTTAGCAACCTTAGGCTAATACAGCAATAGTGCCCTTTGTCCTTAGACCTCAAAAATGGTCTTCTTGATCTAATGAATTAATTCAACCTTAGAAAAATAAAAGACCACTATACTTGGTTTGGAAGGGGTAAGATACTCTTTGCATGTGTAGACATTATAGAATGTAGACATTCAACTCTCACACGTTTAAAAAGAAATCTTCCAACAAATGGGCTTTAAGAGGAAAGATGTCCTAGAAAATGCTTATAATTTTACAAACATTAAGCACCTAAATGTTGAGAATACAGAAATGCAGGTGTGTGTGTATTTGTGTGTGTTCCTGTGGGAAGTGGGAAGGACAGACATGTCCTCAAACAGTTGTGGTATTTTTTCTTTTTTTAAATATATTTTATTGATTTTTTTTTTTAACAGAGGAAGGGAGAGGAATAGAGTTAGAAACATGGATGAGAGGGAAACATTGATCAGCTGCCTCCTGCACACCCCCTACTGGGGATGTGCCCACAACCAAGGTACATGCCCTTGACTGGAATCGAACCTGGGACCCTTTAGTCCGCAGGCGGATGCTCTACCCACTGAGCCAAACCGGTTAGGGCCAGTTGCGGTATTTTGATACACACGATAGTGTATGAGTATACAAAGCTCTCTGGGAACACTGGGAGACTTGACCTAGGAGGTTTCATTTGAACTGATTCCTAAAGATGGATAGTAGAGACAGTTTCAAGGCAGAAGAGATTGTTCAACAACCACATACATTCTGGGAACTTAAAAGTAGTCGGGAATGGGTAGACATGGGGTAGAGAGATGTGTCAGGTCAGGGAACGAAGCCAGAAGCTGGGCAAGAGTCTATTCAGGAAGAACATTTTACACTGTGCCATGGAATTGTTTGTTAATAGGAATAGTAGTGACATTTACTTATTGTTGGCTAAATACATTATATTGTTATTATTTAACAGTTTAATAAAATAGCATTTTTTATGTTTGTGTTGATTTTTAGAGAGAGAGGAAGGGAGAAGGAGAGAGAGAAAAACATCCATGTGACAGGGGAACATCGATGGGCTGCCTCCTGCACACCCCCTGCCGGGAATTGAGTCCACAGCCCAGGCATGTATCCTGACCAGGAACTGAACCGACAATCTCTTGGTGCACAGGATGGCACCCAACCAACTGAGCCACATCGGCCAGGGCAGCATTTTTTTAAATAAGATGATAAAATCAGCCCTGGCCCGTGTGACTCGGTGGAGAGCATTGGCCAGTGCACCAAAGGGTCACAGGTTCCATTCCTGGTCAAGGGCACATACCTGGGTTGCAGGTTTGTTCCTTGGCCCGGTTGGGGCGCATGTGGTAGGCAACCTATTGATGTGTCTCTCTCAAATTGATGTTTTGCTCTCTGTCCTCCCCCCGCCCCCCACCCATCCCCTGCTTTCACACTATGTAAAAATCTAAAAATCAATGGGAAAAACATCCTTGTGTGAGGATTTAAAAAAAAAGATTATAAAATAGGCTGACAGTAGTTAATTATCTAAACTTGGAAATATTTTAAAAATTCTATACTTAAGATTAACCTTTTCTCCCATATTTTGAAACACTACAAATTAGAATTGCTAGTCAAGATTTTTAGATTTCCTTTTTAGATGATAAATCTAAAATATTTAAGCAGATTGTGATTTCTGACCCAGGATCTTAATAGTCATGATTTGATTCTGCTACAGAGAAGTAAGTTAAACTTTAAAGTTATGAACTGACTTCAGTGTTTTTTTGTTGTAATTAAAGTTTGTCATAAAAAAGAGGCATATTCCCTCTGGCCATTTATATTTTAAGGTAGTGAGTCATGTATATCTTATAAGTCAATATCTTAACTAATAAATTATTAGAGACTTCGATATATCAAAATGTTTTTTGAGATTAATTTCTTAATAAATTCTTTAGAGCCATATGATTCAGTTTTTAGTTAAGTCATAGCCCCTTTTTATTTTCTTTACTGATGGCAGAAGAGGCATTATAATCATTCATTTTCCTGCTGCTTATTAACAATTCAGAAGGCAGTGTGGTGAGTGAGTGTGGGGAATGTGTATGCGTGTGTGCATGCTGCTTATTCTCATTCTGTTCCTCATTGCCTACTCTAATGAATAAGAACACAGGCAGTCCTCGGGTTACGTCAGACTCAGCGTATGTTGTTTTGTGGTTACGTCGCCATCTCCCATTTACAGTATTTATAAAAAAAAAAGTTCCATCATTTCGACGTATGTACATAGGTGCTTTATGTTTTTTATTATTTATTTACCACAAGTAAAGGTCAGGAATTGTTATCTTTCTTTTAAATTTTTTTTACTGTTTCACTTCATTACTGCTGTGTATGGGCTCCATGTGAGTGACGTAGGTGCTTATGTAGGTGGGTTCCGACTTACGGCGAAAATCGCCTTACGACGCGCCGTAGGAACGGATCTCCGACGTAACCCAAGGACCTACAGTAGTTTTCCTGTCCCAGCTGGTTTGGCTCAGTGGATAGAACGTCCTGTGGACTGAAGGGTCCCAGGTTCAATTCCGGTCAAAGGCACATGCTCGGGTTGCGGGCTTGATCCCCAGTAGGGGGCGTGCAGGAGGCAGCCAATCAATGATTCCCTCTCATCATTGATGTTTCTATCTTTCTCTCCCTTCCTATCTGAAATCAATAAAAGTATATTTGAAAAAGAAAAAAGAATAGTTTTCCTTAGGAAAGTATGTAAGTGCTAGTCTCCAATAATGAACTAATTAA